ACAAAAACAGCACCCCATCTTTCTTACCCTATTTTAAATGAGTACAAGTCAGTTTACAATTTGCCCCCTGCATTTCACAGAATTCTTTCTCTTTATTCCATCCCCATTTTCAACCCAACTTCATGCAGCTGCACTTATGCAAATGAAGCAAGACATTACACAAAAAATGCAGAAGTCCAGCTGCACTGAAAAATGCTTACATTCTCAATGCTTTACTGTCAAAATTATCCCACCCATATTTTGAGCTGTGTAAAACCTACAATGGAGACCTTTACACTGCATATCACTAAGCCATTTAATTTTGTAAGGTGTAATCCTGATGACTCAAATGCAGCCCAGACTGTTTAAGTATACTGATCTTTGCAATCATAGCAATAACCCACATTTGACTGTACCACAATTAAATTCTGTTTATGCCTATATTTTCACCAATTACCAGCCTTCTTGCTCAACTATTACAGTATTATAGGTGTGATATTCAAATAGTTGTTATCCTACATAAGGATACAGATTGCAAGCAGAAAGGGATAACTGGACATTGACCATATTAGATAATGTTTCCATTGATATTAATGATAAAGTCCAGATTCCTTATCATGCAAACTGTAGCTCAAACAATTTACAAGTTTAATCTTGAAAACTGCAGGTGAGCACCTCCTGTAACTATTCCCCTTACATTGAATAAAATGTTATATATGCTGCATATATGATTTTCCCATAATAGAAACAACAGACTTTTCCCTTTGATCATAATTTGAAAAATGCAGTTTAGATCAATATAGAAAAACATGTCTGAAGCTGCATTACTCATTCAAAAGAGGTTGTTATATCTGGTGTGACAGTAGCAAATACCACAGTTAAGGTTGCAAAATACTTTCCATTATTACCTGTTTTCACATGCTCATAACATTCCAAAACATTTGCCTATGGGCCTGAAATTTTCCATGCTTGATGACTATCCGGTGGAAAGCTTTTTGTAAAGTTTGACTAAAATCTCTTCCGCCATTTGAATTATGGAAGAGGGAAAAAACCAAAAAATCCTCTTTCTTCCCCCAACCACCTTAAACAATGGTAGAAGTTTGAAAGTTGAGATTTGGCCTGGAGATAATCCTCACTAAATATTTTGGTCTTTGCATAGTTTCAAAAAATGTTTTATTTTGAGAAAGTTAGGAGGACTTAAAACTGCACACTAAGCATGTGCAATATTCTTTTTTCAGGTATCAAAGCCTTAAAGAAGCACCCGCTAAAGTAGCCAAGAATAGCTGTGTGGGATTTAGCGACAATATAAAAAATAAGGTACCCTTCCTCCAAACCCACAGAGCAGCTCCATGAGGAGTACTTCAGCCAATGGTTATAGCTTTATTACACCCTAAAGAGTTGAAGAGCGTGGGAGGATCAGAGCATCACTAGATTCTCTGCTCCTAGCCGAGCTCCATCATGAAGCAAGAAAGCTGTGCATGCAACCCCATCACCATATAGAGTAGTGGGCTGGTTATTACCCTTCAGAGAGATCCATGGCACATGAAGAGCTACAGAAAAGCAGGGATTTTTCAAACAAAAGAGCAGAAGGTTAACTTTATTTGCACTCACTCTCCTCTTGTTGCTTCATTATTTTACCTCTCCAAAGTTGGATGGCTGCTGGAAGAGAACATCAAGGGAAGCCTGACAGGGTGCTACCAACTGCTCTCCACTCCGTGGTTTCAACCACTGTTGGGAGGATGCTTCTGCAATGCTGACAAGAGCGAGGCAATTTCCGCGCCCCTACCGCATTTCCTCTTCCTTGCCAAGCTGGCAGCTGCTGCTCTTCCACCCACTGGAGCTGGCTGCCTTTTTTTGGCTGAATAGTTTATCCACTGCAAAATTAAACTTCTGGCCAATCAAAAATATTTGCAAATTTGGGTCAAATTTAATGAATAGTTTTGGCCAAAAAAGATTTCAAGACAGCCAAACCATTCCATGGTTACTTTTTCAACTTTTCATTTCAAAAAGATGTTCTATTTCAAACCTTAGATTTATTTTTAAAACAAGAGTACACACACCTGGAAATAAAATGAAAGATGTGGAAAAAAAACATTTAGAGTCAAAAGCAATCGTTTGTTGTACCCAAATTTTTGTTCTACCTGCAACCTGAAATTCTTTCAGTTTTCATTTCAGTGAGAAAAACAAAACAAAACATCCAAAACAATTTGTTTTTCTGGGTTTTTCAGTTAGGCCACCAAACTGAAAAACCAGTTAATTGCTCATTTCTCCCACCCACTGCCACTGATGGTCAGAGACCACGGCATGAGAGAAAAATAAAGAAGTCCTTGGAACTCAGTGGCTATTTTTTGTACTGCTAGTGTTTACAAGCTGAGCAGCATGACAACCAGATGCAGTGAGAATCACAGTCACTTCTCCACCTCTCCGGTATAGCTCCATAGACTGGGAGCCATCATTTGAACTAAAGTTTATTTCCTCTCTTTCCATCTCCCCTGTACTTCCGACCTGTAGCCCAGGCAAACTGGGTTTGCAAAGCACCTTCTTTCCCACTTAGCTGTTCATCCAGGATAAGGATACAATGAGGGGAGGGTTAGCTTCTTTTAGCCATGTTATTGAACCAGACCCTCCTGCTGCTCCTGTGAACAGCAACTTCAGCCAGCTGGTAGATAAGTTCTCTGTTCCTTGCACCACTCCACCCCACACTTGCATTTGACTTCCCACTCTTTACCAAAGTGTCTACTTCACTCTACTTTAATTCTGACTCTTCATACCACTATATTCTTCTTATATCAACCCAGTAATTAAACCCACAATCCCCCTTAATCTAGTTACACTCGCTTATTTTGATGGTAGTTATTGTGATGGGGGCACCTAATCATTAAAAACATTACTGAAAAAAATCAAACTCATTTTACATGTGTCAAAAAGGTCTCAAGGCAGTCACCTATTTTCTAGAAACCTAAGCCAAATTTAACTGGCGACATGGGTGAAAGAAAGTTGTTCGGTCACATTAGCCACACTCAATATTTATGAGCGATCTGTTATTACATATTCTTGGTACTTTTAGTTCTTGTCTTTAAAAAGGATGTAACATTTAAAACATTCCACAGAGATGTAAAACAACGAACGTATGACAAACTGACACTGTGGCGGGGGCTTGGGTATTCAGAAATAGTTCAATTATAAATACCTTAAGAATATCATAGGAAGTCCCACTGCACAGTAAAACCCTAATCCTAATGTTCCAGTTCATTTCAAACTTGAAACAGTTTGAGTGTAGGACTTCCGATGTTGTACAGATCTTTTAAAAATCAGAACCACTTAATTCTAGTGTATGCCTTCTGATCAGATTGCAAAGTAAACTTATTGGAGAGCCAGCATTTGAAACTGGGTACTGATTTCCAAAAACCATCTGTAGATTTTTAAACATCTAACATACTAAACTGTGGCTTTGTGTAACTCAGAGTCTTGCCTGCATGTGTATGATCACACTGTTTTGTGATACACCCCTCACCCTTCAGTGTGCAAAGACCTGATCATTTGATTAAATAAAGGGAGTTTTAACATGTTTAAGTGGGGAAAAAAATACTTCTAAATCTTATATGACATTTGGACAGGAAACTACACTCCACACAATAGGAATGCAGTGGGTGAATTAATTGGTCTGTCACGAAACTGAACAGACATCAGGTGTCAGGTTAGGAAGCAAAGAGTCAAACTTGTTGAAAATTGTATGGATGACATGTTATTTAGGGAGACACAAGAGCTATCTTGTCCTTCAGACTCTTTCAAAACCTAGCTATTTAAACTGCCATATGAACACATATTATGAGTAATATAATTCCACACCATTTTAAAAGGCTAAATATTTGCAATCGTACAACATGAACCTGAGAATAGACAACCGACTTCAAGCCTTATTCTTTGGGACTACTTTGGACACTAACAAAAACACCATCAGCAACGAATGCTGTCTTAAGAACCAACTTCTACCCCTCCTATATGCAGATATGCATCATCATCACACATTTTGTTAAATCAGCTATGGAACTTGCTCAACACATCAGCCTATTTAACAAGATTTGGGCATGGTAACATGCACCCATAGTGAAACAGCAGATGCCTAGCTAGCCACTAGTTACGGGGTAAAAATTACATATACTCTCTAACAACCATTAACACATAACAAGCAATAAATGAAGGGGGAAGAAATGGTAAAAGGGTTATGTTGCTTTCAAATGGCAAGGTTCCTTCTCTTCCCCACATGCATAAATGGAAGCTATGTTAGCTACAAATAGAGTGGCAATGACCTTTTCTCCTCCTCTGCATGATTAATTACTTAATGTCCTATTAATTGGAAAATGTAGTTAAATTTCAAATGCTTTCATTTTCTTTACATATCATCCTGTCTGGGAAGCACCGATTAAGCTGTTCATCAAAGGTGAGCACACAAGGTCATCTATGCTGTACCTCTTCAGTTATTCATTACCTGTCCTCAGTAGTAATTAACAATGGAAATATTTCCATAAATCACCTTTCTGATTATCCCCAGATGAGCAGTCAGTTTTCTCCAAGCGTCTTTTTCTCGCCTTTCAATATTATCTAATGATTCAGTCTAAATATATCAGATGTCATTTAAAATGTAAAATTTTGTTATGTTTCTTTTGAATACGACAGAGTTAGCAGAAGCTGGTTAAGTTCTTGTGTGTATTTAAAAGGAAGACTGAACAAACAGATTTACTGACATTTGAAGGGGTATATCTGTAAAGTGCTTCCACGGGTTCTGGCTGTGTAATGCTCATTAGAATAATCAGGAGTCCACCCAGCTAAAATCATGACCAGCACTTAAAAGATCTACCTATTATTTTTGTCTAAAGCAGGCTTGTGTGTTATCTAGTTTTAAGGGAAGTTCAAGGGCTGTAACCTCATTTTAAGGAAACTTCAAAATTCTCAACACAATAAAGTAACGCAAGCCACAAATCCTTCCCTTCAACTTGTACCATCACCACTGTGGCTCTCACCTTGAGGCATCTCAGGTGGCAAATAGTGAGGTTCTTGAGCGCTGACATGTACCCAATCAAAGTCATCATATAGGTCTTGATGGTAATCACAGGGCCCCAGGCCATCATCAAAAGTGCATCCCCCTAAAAGAAAGAAAGCCAGACATTTTATTAGTTACAAATTCTACATTTATTTAAAACAAAAATCCTTTCAAATTCAAACAGAGGTGTTCCTTCTAGGTACATCTGCCACAGAGCCCATACAGCCTATAACATAGTTCACAAGCTTTTATGTGCAGAGCTAAAAATCTCAAGTCTCTCATCCATCAATGTTATTCTCTTTAAATTTTCTCTGCTTTCCACAGCCAAATTCCCTCAACAGCTCATTCTACAGGAGCCGGAAATCACAGATTGAGCTACTGAAGTCAAAGTAGAACCTGATTCAGTGTTTGCATAAAAAGTGACATGTTATCTAGACTGAGGGGGAAAAAAAATATAAAGCAATGAACAAGGCTAACAGTAAAGGTGCAATCAACAACTTCCTTGATGCACTGACAGCCTACTCAGTCCAACCAGTGAATAAAACGTATCGATGGAGCTCACACAGAGGGAAAGGAAAGAGCAGAGGAAAGAGAAAGCACTCTGACAGTATAATTACAGTCACTGAGAATTGAAATAATATTTTGATTTCTTCAAAGTTGATTTGACGCTCTTACTTTATTAACCAACCCAGCCTAACAACACAAATTGAAGGCTCTTTTTCAGGGTCATTAATAATGGATCTAAAATCTTTATCCAGTGCCCATCACCAGAACAACAGGAATTGTAAGGGGCAGGGACAAAGGGAAGGAGCAGGGAGGGAGGGTTTAAAAAAAAACCAAAACCCAAAGTTTGCAGCACGATAAAAATCTACTGTTTGGTAATGGTAAATGTTTGATAAAAATGTACTGTTGAACACGTTTTCAAATCTTCTCCTTCACTTATGAAGATAAAGGTGAAAAAGGTGAGAGTGGGGTAAGAAAGAGGGAAGACGAGAGGAGAGATGAAGGATGGAGTCACAAGAAAGAGTAGAGGATAAAAGGGACTTCAGGGGAGGAGAGGTATTTTTCACAATAGGAACAACAGATGCCACGCACGTAGTTCTGCAGCAGCTGTTATCTCCATCCATGGTAAACAATCCTTGGATTTGCTGCTTTGCTTTGAAAATGGGAGGCAAGATCAGGACAGATAATCTTTATCTCCAAGAAATAGTGAGACTGTAAACACAGTGCATGACCATCTTTATACTGAAAGAAGCTTATAATCCATTAGAGAAGCCATAGGGACCTAGGAAGAAGGTTATAAAAGTATCTGGCAGTTGAAAATAAGTTGGAGGTATTTAAGGGGTGAACTCATATCTGCCTCATTGGCTTCCGAGGGTATGTCTACACAGGGATAAAGCAGTCACAGCTAGCCCAGGTCAGCTGACTCAGGCTGCCTGACTAAAAATCACTAAAAATTGCTGGAGCCTGAGCTCTGGATTCCTCCACCCTCCCAGGGTCCCGAGCATCGACAACGATTTTTCAGCCCCAGAGCCCAAGCCCCGTGAGCCTGAGTCAACTGACCCAGGCCAGCCATGGGTTGTTTATCCCTGTTTCGGCGTAGCCTGAATCAGTACATTCATATGATTAACAATTCTTACTGTTGCAAACACAAATCCCTGCTGTTAAAGAATAAACTAGAGGCAATATCTAACAGGCCACAGAGTCTGTGTTAAGAATTTCACATACAATACTGAAAATGGGACCTGATGCTGTGAATTAAAAACTCTGCTTCCGTTTATGGTAAATTCAGGATTATCTGAAAAATGTGTCATTTCCATTCCATCTCAATGGCATCCTCCCATGTGCTTGTTTTTTTGTGTTTATTTTTCCTGGAGAAAGAAAGGAGTGCAAACCAACCTCACTACTACTGCATGTGCAACACAAAAAGAGCCTAGGAGTAGAGCTGGTTGGGGGGAAAAAAAATTGGGAGAAGGGGGTGGAGCTTCCTGCAGGAAACTTGACTTTTCATCAGAAAAACTGAAAAATCCAATGTTTTTGGCCCACCAGTGAAAATTTTTGGCTGGAGAGTTTGATGAAAAGCAAAGATTTTCCCACAGAAAGCAAAACACTTTTGGCAAAAATATTTGTGTTTTGGCAAAATCAATTTTCCACTTTTAAACAGTTTTGATAGAAAAAGCTTTCAACCCAATCCCTACCCCGGGATGCCACGCTTCCTTCTGTTCTACCTGTTATGCTTTTGTTTAAAAAGTGTCAGTCAGCTAACAAGTGAGTGGAAGCAATACTACACAATGACGACTCATTTAAGAGAGCACTTTGCAAATACCTAGAGTCTCAAAATTATTTGTCAAAATTCCTTGCAAACAACAAATACATTTCAAGACACTGGTTGGTTTGTAGCCGATATTATCCACACAAAAATCTCTGCTAGTTGTATTTGTTATGTCATACCTTCCTTACATACACACATCTTCCTGGACATTAGTCTTACCCACACTAGGACTATCACCATGCTAGTGACAACCATGTTTGCAAGTGTTTGTTTTAACAAGGGCAAACAGTCTTCCTGGAATCTTAAGAATTGTCTGTTGGACCCACATTATAAAACCATAATATCAGAGTAGGCAGTGAACAGAGGAGTTTTGGTCTGTCACACAGTTTAGCCAACTTGACACCCCACAACCCCCACAAAAATTCCTTTCTGTATCTGTCAATAAAATCACACTAGGACTCTGCTTGTGCCAACAGTTACTAAATACTGTTTCACCCAGTATGGACAGCACCAATGACGTAGATAAAATGCAGTAAGAAGACATCATCTACTGGCAACCTAAACTGGAATTCATTCCCTTGTCTGACAGGTTGGACTGCCTTGTCCACAAATCTGAATTCAGCTCCATTTCCATCTGAGTGAAACCTTATAGATATATTACGCTTTTCATGCATCACTTTGACAATATGAACACACCAACAAAAAACACAGAGTAAAATTTGATATTCTGCACCGAGTTGATTGCTATGCCTGTGTCACTGTCAGGGATGGCAAAGCACAAAAGGAGAAATGTTTGTGTGTCAAAGAAACACTAATTGTATGCAGTGTTGTTGTAGCCATGTTAGTCCCAGGATATTGAGAGGAAAAAGTGGGTGAGGTAATATCTTTTACTGGACCTGAAGAAGAGCTCTGTGTAAGCTTGAACACTTCTTTCTCTCACCAACAAAAGTTGGTCCAATAAAAAAATATTATGTCACCCACCTTGTCTCTCTAAAGAAACATTAATACCTTTTAAAGTTCTTCTCCAGTGTCCTATTACCAACAAGATAGCTTTCTAATTAGCATCTCATGATAATACCATAAAGTCTTAAAACAAATCTTATCCTTTCATTTAACTTCCAATAGACTGCTGTGATCATTCTACAGCAAAAAAGAACATTTCCATAGACATTTAATTGATAAATGAATAGCAGCTTCCCTTAAAGCTAAGTTATCATTGTCTACTGTCACAGCACCAAAATGACGTACTGCTTTGAAGCACATGCCTTGAGGGCACCCATTACCCTTTTTAATGGTTTATGTGCCCTCGGTATATAAATTTAAACTACCAATGGATATCACATTGACTCATTTGGAAGATGAATGATCTTAATTGCTGTCCTTCAGACCTGCTATTAATTTTAGGTATCAGGATTCTGATTAGCAATAACAACAAGTGTCTCAATACACAAACAATACAGACTTTGTCATTTTTGCACATCACTGTAGCATCAGCAAAGCCAGTACGTACACATTTATCATATACACATGAAAGAAAAGTTATCAGAATGGATCATCAACCTGCTACAAAATCCACTTTATATAAAGAGCTGCCATACCAAAAGGGGAAGAGCTCCATCTCAGCTCATATGCTGCGTCTAACAGTGACCAATACGTGTTTCAGAGGAAAACAAAGTAGAAGTCAAGTGCACATATACAATAACGCATTATACCACCTCCATAAGGTAAAGTAGAAATTATTGCCCTGTTCCTGCAGGTCACCTTCTATGACCTAAAGCACGGGTCTCAAACTCAAATGACTGTGAGGGCCACATGAGGACTAGTGCATTGGCCCGCATCACTGACACTGCCCCCCCTCACTGCCCCTGGCCCCGCCCCTGCCCCGCCTCTTCCCACCCCTTCCATGTCCCCATTCCAACCCTTTCCCCAAAGTCCCCACCCCAACTCTGCCCCCAGGGGGTGCAGGAAGGGTACGGAGTGCGGCAGGGAGCTCAGGGCAGTGGTGCGGGGTGCAGGATGTGGCAGGGGACTCAGAGCATGGGATTGGGGTGCAGGGTGCAGCAGGGGGTTCAGGGTGCGGGATCTGGGGTGGCAGCGGCATGCATCGGGGCCATGGCAGGCTCCCTGCTTGCCTGCCCTGGCCCCCAGCCCTGAGCCACTCTGCTCCAGAAAGCAGCCGAAACCATGTCCTGTGGCCCGGGGGAGGGGGGGAGCAAGGGCACAGGGCTCCGTGCGCTGCCTTGCCGGTCCTCCAGGTACCTCCCCGGAAGCTGCCATTGGCTGCGGTTCCCCGTTCCCAGCCAATCGGAGATGCGGGAGGCACTGCCTGGAAGCTATGGCAACGCACAGAGCCCTCTGCCCCCCCCCCACGCCCACCCGGGCCACAGGGACGTTGTGCCAGCTGCTTCAGAGAGCAGCACGGGGCTCGCAGGGGGCAATCCCGCGGGTCGCATTGGCCCGCGAGTTGTAGTTTGCCCACCCCTGGCCTGGAGGTAGGCCGCGGGCGGGCTGCTTGGCAGGCCGCAGGAAATAGCCCTGAGGGCCGCGTGTTTGAGACCCCTGACCTAAAGTATGGCCAAGACACTACAAACAGAGATCTGCCCCTCTCTGTTTATTTATCAAGCACTTAGACACTATTAAAGTAACTACAGAAACTAAAAGACCTACCTGTCTAAAACATTGTGATGAAATAACAGGTGGTCTACTTGAGGGTGTGGTGAAGGGTAACAAGGAAGCCCTCAGTTGTGGAACACTATTTATAGTCATTGATAAGATACACCTTTACCCCGATAACACGCTGTCCTCGGGAGCCAAAAAAATCTTACCGCATT